CCCCAAAACCCCAAAACCCCAAAACCCCAAAACCCCAAAACCCCAAAACCCCTTCTTAGCTTGGAAAATTTGAAATTAATTAAACAGGGCCAAACGAATTATGATTTTTATTGTGCATCCTCTCTAGGATCTGTCGGGAGTTCAGATGGTGCTGCTTAGTGAACGTATTTCTGGTAGACTTACCATATGAGCTCTCATCACCACTTCTGTGATGACTATGCGGCTCCCTATTGCTACCAAAATGCTGGTTAACTATCTTGTACATCTTCTTAAGCCTAGTCCGAGAGTTATTATGAGAAATAGCGTTCGTACTCTCTCGAGAGATGTCAGGCAGGCTGCCTGACCGATCATCAAAGCCACTACCATCTCTATGACGTGGTTTAGGGATCTGGTTGATGCTGCGAATTCTCCCACTTGGACTCAATTTTTGTTTTATCCCATGAGTCATCCTTCTTTTCGTGATATCGGAGTAACTCTGATTTTGCTGAATGGAGTATTTACCTTGTGAAAGGACCTCTAAGTTATATTTTGACCCATCTCTGTTTTGAGAAGCAAGGAATTCCTTACTTTTTGATCTCAAATGAGCAGGAATGTGAAAACTGTATTTCTTCTTAGATCTTTTGTGCATAGAATTATTGATCGGGCTTTGGTAAGAAGAAGCATCCTCACTCCTGGAGTTTGGGAATCGCTTTGAGAGGATTTCCCTATACCTCCTTTGAAGTGAAGAGTTAAGATCACCTCCACTATTGTAGTTACTATATTCGTAATCTGGACTGTCATTTTCCATTGAGGAGTAGTTATAGTTAATTATTGAGTTGTTTGGTCCTTCCGAAAATTCATTTTTCTCAACTTGAATTCTGTTTTTGACAGGGATATTTGAAGTGATAGTTCCAAGATGGTTCTTTAGTCTTTGCTCCTCCTATTTATTATTATAAAAGCGGTACATTATCAGAATTTACTTTTGCTCCATTGAAAGTAGCGTATGTTTCACCATTTGACATTATCTTTCCATACCCTGATTCTTTGCCGTTTTTCCATTCTCCTTTGTAAACTGTTCCATCTATCCAATACATTTCTCCGTAACCATCTCTGTTGTCATTGCTAAAATTGCCTTGATACCAGTTGCCAGATTTCCATCTATAAGTTCCAAGACCATGCTTTTTGTCATTTTTATAGTTTCCTTCATACGATTCTCCCGACCCATCATATTTTTCACTCCATTTTCCAAACCCATTTCTGAGTCCTTGATCAAATTCTCCTTCGTAGCGCATGCCTGAATTCCAGATGAAACATCCTTTCCCGTGAAATCTGCCTTTCTTATACTCTCCAATGTACTTATCTCCTCATGCATAGGTGTCAGTTCCATCGCCATGCTTGTTGGATTGGTACCAATTACCTTCATACCGGTCTCCTAGAGCAGAATTCATGTAAAAACTTACCGTTTTTCCATATATGGACTCCAAAACCATGAGCTTTACCATTTTCCCAGTCGCCTTCATAGGAATCCCCAGCGATTCCTGACCATTTCCCTCTACCGTGTCTGAGGCCATCCTTCCAGGCACCTTTGTAGACTTCTCCGTTCCTCCACTGGTAAATACCTTGGCCATGAGCTTTGCCGTACTTGTAACTTCCTTTATAAGTATTTTGACTTTCGAAATGCTCGAAACCTTCGCCATGACGATGGCCTTCTTGCCATTGCCCTTCATAATACTTATTTGTGCTGTAATAAATGGCTCCAAGGCCATGCTTAACCGCATCACCAGAGGAATTGATCTTTACCTGACCGTAGTATGAAGCCTCGCCATACTTTATCTCCATGATTTTGGTCTTATCGAACTTGAGCTTATCCCAGAACTTATTTGAGGAACCTTATTCCAGCAGCTTCTTTGTCATCAGAGACTTCCATGGTACCCTTGCTTATGTTCTTAAATTTCTCTTTGGAGAAGTGATCACCAGGCGTTTTAGACTTTTTGGACCGGTTGCTCTTGTGAGAGGAAAGTCGCCTCTCCTTCTCACCGTTGGTATCATACTCATTGTCTGAGTAGACATCTGACTTTCTCTCTTCAAATTTCTTACGCTTCTTTTCACGGTAGCTGCTGTCTTTTCGATGTTTTGAAGCCTCTATTAATAAAATTTTATGACATTATCAGCAATTCCATCTATTATTATGAAGTAATTTGGTTAGAATCTGGAAAAATTTGATAAATTAGCTCGACGAGATTTATCTAACTGTCTTATTACCTTTCTTATCGCCTTCCATTATTCAGAATTTTTTAATTTTTATAATCTTTCATACCTTCAAAAATGATTATTTATTAAGGGGTTTTGGGGTTTTGGGGTTTTGGGGTTTTGGGGG